GCCACGGCACTCACTCTAGCCTGGGCAACAAAGCGAGACTCTGTCTCAAAAAATAAACAAACAAACAAAAACAAAACTCACACAAGCCCTTAGTGTAGGGCTTAGAAAAATGCCTGGCTCACAGCAAGACATGATATGTGTATAAATGTGTAGGAAAGATACATGTGGGCATGTATGTGGGCAGATACATGCCAATGGTTAGCAGAGGCAGCTCTGGAGATGGGGGTGGGATGGAAGGTGGGTAAATTTTTTTTACTCCATATACTCCTGTAATATTTGGACATTTTAAGATAAGAATGCACTTATAGGCCAGGTGTGGTGGCTCATGCCTGTAATCCTAGCACTCTGGGAGGCCGAGGTGAGCAGATTGTTCAAGGTCAGGAGTTCGAAACCAGCCTGAGCAAGAGTGATACCTCGTCTCTACTATCAATAGAAAGAAATTAATTGGACAACTAATATATATAGAAAAAATTAGCTGGGCTTGGTAGTGCATGCCTGTAGTCCCAGATACTCGGGAGGCTGAGGCAATAGGATTGCTTGAGCCCAGGAGTTTGAGGTTGCTGTGAGCTAGGCTGATGCCTGGGCACTCACTCTAGCCTGGGCAACAAAGCAAGACTCTGTCTCAAAAACAAAAAGAATGCACTTATATGTCACTTCTGTGATTTTTTAAATAATAATTTTTAAAACTAGGAAAAAGAATGAATTTACCCTCCCAGAAGCAGGATCTGGTGGCTTTTCAAGATTGCTCCGCATTGGCATAGCTCCTTGGGCTATGGCATCATTGCCAGTCAGAACCAGGATGGGGTTGTCAGGAGCAACCTTGGGTCCCCACATGAGCTAGAAAAAGGGAGCCCTTGCCCATCCTTCCTGCTCCTCTGTCAGAAGCCAACTGCCTGCTGCCAGCAGAACCCATCCCTGGGCTACCCTGTCCACCCTCTGTTGGACAATTTGCCATGCCCTTTATACAACAGACCTTGACTGTGTGGCCATTGTCCCCAGATCAGCACCTATAGCCAGACTGGTTTCTCTAGCATCTTCCTGCCCTGGTATAATAGATGGTACCTAGCACCTGGTGCATAAGAAGTGCTTAATAGATGTGCACTGGCGAACGAATGATCCAAAATGATCTCATTTTGAGGGAGGTCAGCTGAGGTCAGACCTCTGAGTCTGATGCCCAGGTCTCAGGTTGTGTCCTATTTCCACCCCCCTCCTTCCATACCCTAATTGGGGTTTCCCTCTTGTCCCTCTCATGGGTTTCCCTCTAGGTTCTCATGAACCTTGCTTAGCTCTTCTTTCCAGACTTACTAGTTTGCCCACCATCACAGCCTTGCCGTTTACTTCAGCTCCCAGCCTGTAGGTCACCACCTCTGGAAAGGCCTTCCCTGACCCCTCAACTCCAAGACTCATGTAGGCATCCCTTCTGGGCATTCTCCTGGCATCCTGTCCCTCCCCATGGCAGCACCAACCACCTTGTCATTACCGGCTTCTTCCCCACCAGTCTGTGAGCCCTTGGAAGGCAGGGACAGCATTCACTGTTACATCCTCAACATCTGGCACAGCATTTGGCTTTTAGTAGGTGCTCAGGAAATGTTTGTGGAATGTATGATACATTCACACATTCTAGTTTCTCACCTGTATTTCAGTATCCTATTTCTAGCCACCTAGAGCAGTGATACTTCTACCTAGCTAATATTCAGACTCTCCCGGCAGGTTTTAAAAACTAAGAGAGCTCTCAGATAGTAAGTGGGAGAAAAGAGCAAGATACAGAACAGTGTGTCTTGTATGCTTCTGTTTAGACAGGATGGATGTCTCTGGAAAGCTATGCCAGGAACTAGCTTGGTTGCCTGTGGGGATGGGAATTGCACAAGGGGTAGGTAGGAGGGAGATTTTTGACCCTACTATTTGATTTTATACCATGAAAATTATTTATTAGTTTTTAAAATTGAGGTAGAGAACTATATTCACGAGCCACAATAAATACATAAACAATTAGTACCCAACACAGACCTAAGGAATAAGTATCTCTGATATGAGGACCCTAGAATCTGTTTATTTGAATAATTCCCAAATGATGCTGGCCACTTGCCAGATCTGAGAGTTGCCTCCCCAGGGGACAGCCCTACTTGTGGGTCCAATGCTGGTCTCATCATCTTTCTCCTAAAACGTGCTCTTCTTCCAACATTCAACAATCCTTTCTCCTCTCTTTCTGTTCTTATCTTGTCCATCCTTCCAAGTCATCTGCTACAATGACACCTGGTAAGGATCAGAGACATTTTCATATTGCTCCATTGATACACACCCATCCAGTTAATTCACCGTGCCTTATCTCACTTAATTAGAGCAACAATGTTAACATGTAGACTTACCAGTGTGACCCCTACACACACACATACATGCACCCCTGCACACATGTCCAGTAGCCTTTAATTCAAGTGGACTGGGGAGTGCTCATTCAGGAGAAAGGTGGGGGAAGCCTGGAGAGGTATTTCACAGTTTATCAAGCTGAGGAAACTAATGCCTTATCATGTATGCACAACACCCGTGCTCACCTCTTCCAGGCAGTCCTCTGTGGCTACTCCAGCCCATCCTGATCTTACTTGTTTGAATCTTAAATGCAGCAAGTTAGCACTTAATTGTTCCATGTGTGTTAATTTGGCTCTCCAAATAAGATTGCAAGTCCCTTAAAGGCAAGAACACAGAAGCATACTTCTTTGTTAACTTTGTTATCCTAGCATATTGCTAGATTCTCAGTTGACAATTGATACAACTTCTGGGTCACTGACATGCATTTTTATTTCTTTCCTTTTCAGGGAGTTGGAGGGTGGGAGGGTTGGGAGGAGCCAGAGATCAAGAGAAGTCTCTCTTGAAAGGTCAAGGGTATGACAATTAATGCTAATATCTATGCCTTATCGAACAGCTCCTATCTGATAGCTTCTGTGCTAGTGTTTTTATTTTTTTATTTTTTTTTAATTTCGGCATATTATGGGGGTACAGATTTTAAGGTTTCAATAAATGCCCTTTCCCCTCCCCAAGTCTGATTTCCAGCATGACCATCCCGCAGATGGTTGCACATCTCACCATTATGTATGTATATACTACCCCCCTCCCCACTGCCAATACCCTATTACTGTAGTACTATGTGTCCACTTAGGTGCTGCTCAGTTAATACCAGTTTGCTGGTGAGTATATGTGGTGCTTGTTTTTCCATTCTTGGGATACTTCACTTAGTAGTATGGGTTCCAGCTCTAACCAGGAAAATATAAGATGTGCTATATCACCATTGTTCTTAGAGCTGAATAATACTCCATGGTATCATATACCACATTTTATTAATCCATTCTTGGATTGATGGCACTGGGCTGTTTCCACAGCCTTGCAGTTATGAATTGTGCTGCTATAAACATTCGAGTGCAGGTGTCTTTTTTATAGAGTGTCATTGGATCTTTTGGGTAGATGCCCAGTAATGGGATTGCTGCGATAATGGTAGATTCACTTGTATCACTTTAAGGTATCTCCATGTTGCTTCCACAGAGGTTGACTAGTTTGCAGTCCACCACAGGTGTAGGAGTGTTCCTCTCTCTCTGCATCCACGCCAGCCATTTGTTATTTGGAATTTGAAAAGGCCATTCTCACTGGAGTTAAGTCATATCTCATTTGGTTTTGATTTGCATTTCCGTGATGATTAGAGATGTTGCATTTTTCATATGTTTGTTGGCCATTCTTCCTGTCTTCTTTAGAAAGTTTCTGTTCAAGTCCTTTGCCCACTTTTTAATAGGGTTATTGATTTTTGCTGATTTTCATGAGTTCTAAGTAGATTCTAGTATCAGCCCCTTATCAGATGCGTAGGATGCAAAATTTTCCCATTCTGTAGGTTGTCTGTTACTTTCATGACTGTTTCTTTGGCTGTGCAGAAGCTTTTTAGTTTGATCATGTCCCATTTATTTATTTTTGTTGCTGCTGTGATTGCCTTTGGGGACTTCATAAACTCTTTGCCTAGGCTGATGTCTAGGAGAGTGTTTCCAACATTTTCCTCTAGAGTTCTAATAGTTTCATACCTTAGGTTTAAGTCTGTTATCCAGCGTGAGTTGATTTTTGTGAGAGGTGAAAGGTGTGGGTCCTGCTTTAGCCTTCTACAAGTGGCTATCCAATTTTCCCAGCACCATTTATTGAAAAGGGATTCTTTTTTTTCCCCAGCGTATGTTTTTGTCTGCTTTGTCAAAGATTAGATTGAGAACCAAATTAAAGACTCAATTCCCTTCACAATAGCAACAAAGAAATTAAAGTACCTAGGAATATACTTAACCAAGGAGGTAAAAGACCTCTACAGGGAGAACTATGAAACACTGAGGAAGGAAATAGCAGAGGATGTAAACAGATGGAAATCCATTCCATGCTCGTGGATTGGCAGACTCAACATCATTAAAACGTCTATACTACCCAAACTGATCTACAGATTCAATGCAATATCTATTAAAATCCCATCAGCATTCTTCACAGATATAGAAAAAATAATTTCACGCTTCGTATGGTACCAAAGAAGACCCCGTATATCCAGAGCAATTCTAGGCAACAAAAACAAAATGGGAGGTATTAATATGCCAGATATCAAACTATACTACAAAGCTGTAGTAATTAAAACAATCTGGTATTGGCTCAAAAATAGGAATATTGACCAGTGGAACAGATCTGAGAATCCTGATATAAAACCATCCTCATATAGCCATCTAATCTGTGCTAGTGTTTTTAAATACATTAGATACTTTATCTCTCATCCTTATAAGGAACAGGAAAGTAGGTATCCCCTTTTACAGAGAGGTTAAACAATAGCTTGTAACCCTGGGGGCTGTGATCGAAACTCTGTTCCAAGTCCTATACTCCTCATAGGTGTAGCCAACAGGAAGTGCAATGTGAGAGGGAGGGAGTGGGGGGTAAGGGATGTGTTGGTGGTGACACTCAAGGGGATGATGTCAGTGACACTGATGACCACAGGGTCCTACCACCTAGGGTGAAGACAACAAGGCCACAAACTTGGCTTCAGGCCTTTTGTGCAGCAGCAAGAGAAAAGGCCTAGTCCCTAACCCCACCCTCCTCCAAGCTTTGCATGAATCTCTAATGTTCCATTTTTTTTTTTGTTTTTCCGGTTTTTGAAGGCAATTGAGAGATTTGAGCTGGAGAAGAAGGCTTTAAGAGAGAAAAGTCACGGCAGCCCGGGAGACAGAGGCAAAAATCATTTTTTGTAGCCTTGATGGTGTTTTCATGGGGTTTAGTTTTTTTAGTATCTAAAATGCAATTGAGTAGGAATCCAGAGTTTCAGATGAGGATATTTTTGTCTTCTGAAGGAGCCTTAAATCTGACTTCTTGACACTGGACAAGGAAGGAGGGAGGGACAGTACCATTTAGAGACCACCTACTATTATGTGATACTATGTGACATCAGGTGCTTTCATCAAACTCCCTTGTTAAATTTTTATAACACCCCTACCTTGGGGTTACGTACCATTGAATTTAGTTTGTAGATGGGGAAACACATTTGGGGGAGAGAAGTAACTTACTTAAAGCCACAGTTTGTCTACTCCTCCCTGCCGCTTCTCTGGACCAAGAGGCCTAACCAGATCACGAAGGGAGTCTTAATAAGTCAGAGTCACAGTTGGGATCTATGAGACTAGTATCATAAGTGTCATCTGGCAGCTCAGGTTGAATGAAAAATCACAGTTATAATTACTGCACAGCCATGGACAGACCCTGTGGATACTCATTTCTTTCTCTTCTTCCATTCTTCTGCAGTCCAGAGACGAAGAAAATCACAGTATTCCTGCAAAGGCACAGAATTCAGGATTGCCAGATCTTACATTACAAAACGGGTAAGGGATCCATTGCTCAGTCTGTTTCTGAATGGTTTCTGCTGAGCATGAAATAGATTTCATTCCTGGGGAGAGGATACCTGTCGCCTGGGTGGTGATTATGAAGGAAAATCAGAGTCCCTTTTTAAAAAAGGATCTTAACATACTTTGATAACTCTAAAATTTCTCATGACACCCTTGAAAGCGCAGAGCTGACCTCAACCTCAGAATGGGGACTCTTGCAGAGGTCATGTGTCTATTTATTTTTGGAACTTAGAAGGTGTTTCCCCTTGGAGACAATGCATTCAGGTCTAGCTCAGAGCCGCTGTACCAGGAAGTTCCAAGGGGCCATCCACACGACCTGGTGGCTGCTCTGTCACACTCCTTACCTTCAAGGCAGCTGCCCCAGGAAGCTGAGATTCGGGAGCGGTAAGCCCAGAATGTGCAGCTCTCTAATAGCAGACCCGACTTCCTGCTCAGTCCTCTGACTCAAGGCCAGGCGTTCTCCACTGCCTCCCTGGCAGCAATCTAGCCCCACCTCGCAGTCACCCCAGATAAGATCTTCCTCAGCTTATTCTGTAAACCAGCCAGGTCATATGTATTCACACCTTCGAACACTGGAGAACATGAGACTGTATGTTGTTGTTTTTCTTTTTACATGTGTTAGCCTAGGAAATTCCCAAACAGCGCGATGCCTAACGGTTGAGAGTCTATAGTAGCCAAGCAGGTCTACATGTCCCACCCAAGGAGGCACAGCTAACACATGCAGAGCTGCCATGACTCAGGTCGCCTGACTGTGAGTCAGGACAGGGAATTGCTGAGCTGTTCTTCCACCGCCTATCTCCATATCCCAGTTAGAAAGCCATTCGGGGCTGGGTGCAGTGGCTCATGCCTGTAATCCTAGCACTCTGGGATGCCAAGGTGGGTGGATCGTTTGAGCTCAGAAGTTTGAGACAAGCCTGAGCAAGAGTGATACCCTATCTCTACTAAAAAATATATATAGAAAGAAATTAGCTGGGCAATTAAAAATATATAAAAAAAAAGTAGCCGAGCATGGTGGCACATGCCTGTAGTCCCAGCTACTTGGGAGGCTGAGGGAGAAGGATTGCTTGAGCCCAGGAGTTTGAGGTTTCTGTGAGCTAGGCTGATGCCACGGCACTCTACTCAGGGCAACAGACTCCAGACTCTGTCTCAAAAAAAAAAAAAAAAGAAAAGAAAACTATTCGGGCCATCCAAATATTTCAGTAGGTGCCTTTGTGTGGTGGCCATTCGTTTCCTCTTTCTACTTTTCTGTATTTTTACATTTTTTATAGTTATCATATTTTAGTTTTATTCTAAAAATTGATTTAGTGTTAAAAGCCATGAACGTAGCCATATCCTTTGATTCAATATTATGATTTTGTGAAATTCGTACTATATAAATAACCCCAAAGTGGAATAAAGCTATATGCTCCAAGTTATTAATTTTTTTTTGAGACAGAGTCTCAAAGACTCAGAGTCACAGCTAGAGTGCTGTGGCATCAGCCTACCTCACAGCAGCTCCAGGTTATTAATGACAGAAATATTAACTGAAAGTAATCAGAGTAGATAATTAAATTATAATACATCTTAATAGGAAACGTCATTTTAAGTGATAATTTTGAAGACAACATAGCTACGTGAAAAATATGAAGTGGATAAAACAGGACATAAAAATCATATGTATATATACTATATTATATATATAATTATGAAGTTACATATATGTATTTTATACATTTGCTCAGTGCCTGTGGGGGGGGATAGAAATAATGTACACAAGTGTTTGGTATAGGGTCTGGGATCATGAGTAGCCATCATTTTCTCAGCATTCTAGATTTCTGACATTGTCTAGATTGTGACATTGTCTTCATAATAAAAAGGGGAAGGTGTCCTATTGTTTTAAACTGTAAGATGATGGTCCTTGTTTTCATCTTCTGGTGTTTTGCTTCAGAAAACAGCGGATAAAAATCTTCTGGCAGAGCTGTACCAGTATCCCACATTCGACAGCTCTAAGCCAACCAACCTTCCAAATGGAGTAGACTTCTGCGACATGGTGGGCAATGTGGTCCGGGCTGAGAGAAACACCCTCAGTGGCAAGGTGAGGAAAGAGAACAGGCAGCCGCCCAGCCACAGGCAGCCCTGCCCTAACTTTGCAACTCCCTGGGGGCAGACACAGGCGTCCCCCTTTCATGCCCAGGAGCAGTTGAGGAACTTGTCTGGGGCCACACACAAATGACTGAGCTGAGCTAGGAACGCCAGCCAAAGTTCACTCTAAAACCTAGATTCCTTCTACCAGAGCAACAGTCTCCAGACTGTTTTAATCATGTATCCTACTAGTGAAAAATTTTTGAGTATACACCATCATAGATATATGCCTGCTTATAAATTATATACTTGTTTTGTTGTCAGTCACTACATTGTATATTAGTAAGCTTGATTTCTTTTTTCTCTCTTTTTTTTTTTTTTTTTGAGACAGAGTCTAGCTTTGTTGCCCAGGCTAGAGCGAGTGCCATGGCATCAGCCTAGCTCACAGCAACCTCAAACTCCTGGGCTCAAGCGATTCTCCTGCCTCAGCCTCCCGAGTAGCTGGGACTACAGGCATATGCCACCATGCCCGGCTAATTTTTTCTATAATATACATATTAGTTGTCCAATTAATTTCTTTCTATTTATAGTAGAGATGGGGTCTCGCTCTTGCTCAGGCTGGTTTTGAACTCTTGACCTCAAGCAATCTGCCTGCCTCGGCCTCCCAGAGTGTTAGGATTACAGGCGTGAGCCACTGCACCCAGCCTCTTTTCTTTCTTAAGTAGACATTAGTTAGAATATTTTATTTCTATGCGCCTTGGGTTGTGTATACCTTCTTGGAGATCTGTGCACTAGAGCACATTAGGGTCCTTAGGGAAACAGGAGAGAGTGTCCCAAGGCCCAGAAGGACCTGTGTGCGTATGTGAGATGGGTGCTGGCTGACTGGAGATGGAGAAGGGAGGAGGCCTGGGAAATGGCCCGGCAGCTGTACAGCTGTGCCTCTTCGCCCTTCACCATCGCACAACGCCAGTGACCCAAGCAGCTGTGGTCATTGTCTCCTCTGCTCCTAACTAGTCGCCCCACCATTCCTGGGACCCAGTCACTCAGTATGCTTAGCAGATACTCAATAAATATTTGTTGAAGAGCTGATATGAAATCCTTCCTGAAAGGGAGCAGGAGTGTGAGTGAATAATTAGGAACTAGCACACTTCTGTCTAGTGTTTCCTGAGTGCCTGGTGCTGTTCTAAGCATTTAATAGTCATCACTCACGGGGAGACTATTGTCATCTCCATTTGTCATCTCCATCTCCCGAAAAAAGAAATCAAGCTTACTAATATACAATGTAGTGACTGACAACAAAACAAGTATATAACAAGTACTTTCCTATGGGGCACCCCTGCATCCTCTGTCACTGTGTTCCCTCCCCATCCATACCTTCCATGCTTCAGCCACTACAGAGTGTCCTGTGGCTCCCCCAAGCATTAGGAACTGGTCCACGTCATGAGGAACTGGTCCTCGTCATGAAGAAACCGAGCACAGAGAGGTTCAATAACTTTGCTCAAGGTCACACGCCAATAAAGGAAAGAGCTAGATTTGAATCCAGGCAGTCTGGTACCAAAGTCTATGCTCTTAATGGCGCCACTAGACTGTCTGTCCAAAGAAACATGAGGAATGGTGAAAAAGAGGGCACCTTCCTAATGGGGGAGGCTTGCTGGCCATGCAGGGTGCTGTCAGCTGTAGGCGCCAAGGGAGTGCCAAGGAGCCCTTACCTCTGTGCCCAGGAGCATGGTGAGAGCGAGCTCTCCTTGTGCTTCCTAATCATAAAGGAGAGGCACCTGTGTTTTTAGAAAAGAATAATAACAACAATAACAATGCGAATTTTGTTTATTTTCAAGGCCTTCTGTTCAGAGAGAGAATTAGAGAGGTTTCTCTCTTCTCCTCCCATAAGAGCTATGTGGCTGGATAGCTTCTGGTGGATATTTCATGAGAGGTACCAGGTAAATACAAATCTGATTGTTTCTCTCCCTTGCTTAAGTTATATTTCCACGGAACAAATTCCAACCTTTCCTATGGGGCACCCCTGCATCCTCATCTGTCACTGTGTTCCCTCCCTACCCATACCTTCCATGCTTCAGCCACTACAGAGTGTCCTGTGGCTCCCCCAAGCATTAGGAACTGGTCCATGTCACATGGCTGGTCAAGGGCGGGGTCAAAAGTAGAACTCAAGACCTGCTGGGCCAGAGTTAGGGTGCTTTCTTCAACACTCTGCCTCTGTGTACATGGTTTGTAAATCCCGTACAAAAAAGAAAGTATATTATTTCATAAAGCATATAAGGTTAAATATCTCGAGAACAAGATTCCTGAAAATGAAAGCAATATTCATTTAAGAATCCCAGCCCCTTGTCTATTTCAACAAGGGACTCTAGTGATTCCTTCTTCATTTCTATTCCTGTCAGCCAAACCAGGAGATTCAGAACAAGCTGTTCGACCGGATAGCTCAGCACTACACCTTCCTAGTGTTTCAAGTACCTAGGTCTCACTATGAAGAGGCGCTCCTGACAGTGAGTATCAACCACTATTTAGGAAAAAATCTCCTTAGATTTCTATTCACTTCTGATGCATAGAGAATGTTGTAGACATTCTTTTTATAAGAGAATAATTAACAAGTTGTATGATAACCCATACTCTGACTTATAAGGAGGCAGTTACAAAAAATACAGTAGAGCTATATATACTGGTTGAGAAGGATGTAATGATATATTTTACATGAAAAAGCAATTTATACAACTCTGTACTTATATATATATATGTATGTATATGTGCCTATAAATAGAAAACAACTTGGAAAAATATTTACCAAACCCTTGGCAATGCTTATCTCATGAGAGTGAGGTTATAAGAGACTTTCCTTTTCTATTTTTCTATTTTATTTAAATAACCATGTAACTTTAAAATTAAAAGTGTGAATATACATATATACTTTTTATATATGTGTGTGTATGTATGTATACATATGTTTGTGTGTTTGTGTGTGTGTATACTTAAAAGATTGCTAGAAGAAAATATAAGTGAATGGCTGAGCAAGGTGGCTCATGCCTGTAATCCTAGCACTCTGGGAGGCTGAGGCGGGCAGATTGTTCGAGGTCAGGAGTTAAAAACCAGCCTGAGCAAGAGCGAGACCCCGTCTCTACTATAAATAGAAAGAAATTAATTGGACAACTAATATGTATATTATAGAAAAAAATAGCGGGCGCATGGTTGGCCACATGGCCTGGGTAGTCCCAGCTACTCGGGGAGGGGCTGAGGCAGATAGATGGCTTGAGCCCAGGAGTTTGAGGTTGCTGTGAGCTAGGCTGATGCCACGGCACTCACTTTAGCCTGGGCAACAAAGCTAGACTATGTCCCAAAAAAGAAAGAAAGAAAGAAAATATAAGTGAATATACACGAGTTGGGGGTGAGGAAGGACTTTCCAAGTGTGACCCAGAGGAAATAACCATAAAGGAAAAGACCAATAAACTATGTAAATTTTTAAAAAAATTACTATAGACAAAGTTAAGAGGCAAATGACAAACTATGCAAAAGTATTGGTAGCATATATGTCACACAATATAAAGAACTCTTGGAAATCAATAAGAAAAAATTAAACACTCCACAGACTCATGGACAAAGTACATAAACTAGAAATTCACCAAGGAAGAAGTATGAGTGGAAAAAAAGCTCGCCCCTTAACAATAATTAAAAATGCAAATTGAAACAATAATAATTTGATACTCCCCTTCACCTGTTAGATTGCATAGATTAAAAAGTATATCTTGGGGCGGGCGCGGGTGGCTCACGCCTGAATCCTAGCTCTTGGAGGCCGAGCGCGGGCGGATTGCTTCAAGGTCAGAGATCAAAACCAGGCTGAGCAAGAGCAAGACCCCGTCTCTACTTATAAATAGAAAGAAATTAATTGGCCAAATGATATATATATAAAAATTAGCCGGCATGGGGGCGCCATGCCTGTAGTCCAAGCTACTCGGGAAGCTGAGGGCAGAAGGATCGCTTGAGCCAGGAGTTTGAGGTTTGGCTGTGAGCTAGGCTGACGCCACGGGCACTCACTCTAGCCTGGACAAACAAATGAGACTCTGTCTCAAAAACAAAAAAAAAAAAAAAAAGTTATATCTTGGGCCAGGCGCAGTGGCTCATGCCTGTAATCTTAGCTCTCTGGGAGGCTGAGGCGGGCGGATCGTTTGAGTTCAGGAGTTCGAAACCAACCTAAGCAAGAGCGAGACCCCGTCTCTACTACAAATAAAAAGAAATTAATCGGCCAACTAATATATATACAAAAAAAAAAAAAAATTAGCCGGGCCATGGTGGCGCATGCCTGTAGTCCCAGCGCTACTCGGGAGGCTGGAGGGCAGCAGGATCGCTTGAGCCCAGGAGTTTTGAGGTTGCTGTGAGCTAGGCTGACGCCACGGCACTCACTCTAGCCCTGGGCAACCAAAGTGAGACTCTGTCTCAAAAAAAAATAATAAATAAATAAATAAATAAATAAAGTATATCTGGGCACAGTGGTGTGTGTGCCTGTAGTCCCAGCTACTTGGGAGGCTAATGTGGGAGGATCACTTAAGCCCAGGATTTCATGTCCAGACTGAGGCAACATAGCAAGACTCTGTCTTTAAAAAAACCAAAAAAACTTTCATTCTTAGGGTGGTTAAGGATGAAGGGAAATGGCCTTCTCACAGTCTGGGTGAGTAGTGAATTGATATAATCATGCCAAAAGGCATTTGTACTAGTTTAATGACCCCTAAACAGTCAATTAGGCTTTTTGTTACCTGTTTCATCATCCATAAAATGGGGATAATAATACCTCTTTGAGTTGTTGCTAAGAATTAAATGAGAGGATGTTTGTAAGGTAACTGACATATTGCCCAGCACCCGCTAAGCCCCCAGTATATCATAGCTGCTATAATTACTATTATTACACAATCTTCTGGAGGACATGAGCTAATGTACAGGAGGAGCTGCTTTCATTTATGCATTTATTCATTCATTTATTCATTCCACAAATTTTTGACTGCCTACTATGTGCCAGGCACTGAGACAGCTTTTTTTTTTTTCGGCATATTATGGGGGTACAGATTTTAAGGTTTCAATAAATGTTCCCCACAAGTCTGAGTTTCCAGCATGACCATCCCCCAGATGGTGCACATCTCACTCATTATGTATGTATATACCCTAGCTTTTTTTTTATAATTTTTTTGAGACAGAGTCTCACTTTTTACCCAGCGTGAGTGAGTGCCGTGGTGTCAGCCTAGCTCACAGCAACCTCAAACTCCTGGGCTCAAGCGATCCTTCCTGCTCAGCCTCCCGAGTAGCTGGGACTACAGGCAGGCGCCACCATGGTCCGGCTAATTGTTTCTGTATATATTAGTTGGCCAATTAATTTCTTTCTATTATAGTAGGAGATGGGTCTTGCTCTTGTCAGGCTGGTTTTTAACTCCTGACCTCCAGCAATCTGCCCGCCTCGGGCTCCAGAGTGCTAGGATTATAGGCGTGAGCCACCATGCCCGGCCTGAGACAGCTTAATAAATAAAAATAGCTCGGCCAGGCGCAGTAGCTCACACCTGTAATCCCAGCACTCTGGGAGGCTGAGGCGGGAGGATCACTCAAGGTCAGGAGTTCAAAACACCCTGAGCAAGAGGAGGGACCCCATCTCTACAAAAAATAAAAGATTAGCTGGACAACTAAAAATTATATAGAAAAATAACAGCATGGTGGCGCATGCCTGTAGTCCCAGCCACTTGGGAGGCTGAGGCAGGAGATCACTTGAGCCAGGAGGTTGGAGGTTGCTGTGAGCTAGACTGATGCCACAGCACTCTAGTCCGGGCAACAGAGTGACACTCTATCTCAAAAAAACAAAAAAACAAACAAAACAATTCAGCTATTTTACATGACATTTGTAATGTAAAATCTTGGAAACAATATCCAGTGAAGGGAGATGTTTAAGTAAATTTTGATATGCCCACTCGGCGCAATATTATGAAGGTCACTATTGGAAAAAAAATCCCAAAGAGTTTATAATAACTTGGAGAAGTGCTCATATTATGATATTAAGTGGATAGAGCCAGATATAAATGTATAATTTGAGCTCAACCATAGTTAAGAAGCAACAACAATAACACCTGTGCATTAAAAAAAAAAACAAAAAACCCACCCAGTAAGTAGTATTTACTGTTGCCTTTGGGAGATAATAATAATATGAGGAGGTCAAATATATCTTGTTATCTTCTTGGCTATTCTTGGGCCAAGTTGCAGAAGAGGCTGAGCAACAGGCCACATGAAGAGATGCTGGGAGAGGGAGAAGGTTGCTGGCCAAGCATGGCAGGATGCTTAGGAGTGATCCCCGGGTAGGGAATTCCCCCAGATGCAGAGGCCGCCAAAGACAGAAATTGCTCCCTTATGAACAGGCAGGCAAGCGTGGTGTTGGGTAAAGCATTTTATCCCAGGTCCTTTCTGAAGTCTGGATGTGGAAGTGCTGAGAATGTTGCCCGGGCTCTGCTTGCCCCCCAGAGGCTGCCATCACTTCTGAGCAAAGGGGTGTACACCAGCTTCTGCTGCTGCTTCCCACAGTCCTTGTTCAACACACATGAATTCAAGTCTGAAATCTGCAACACCCTAAGCCTTTGGATTTCAGGTGAGAGGAGACTCTTTTCTACTGGGGAAAGCAATTCTGGAAAAACACTTTCCACTAGAGCCTAGGTATGTAATTGTTTGCCATAGCACTCCTTCATCAGGGCAATCTTCCTTTTCTCTCCTTCACATTAAAGAAAGGGAAGTGTGTGGTTAGAGCCCCAAGGAGCATGAATTTTTCTGCTTCCTCAAAATAGCTGAGCCATCCCTTCCTAATTTCCTTTTAATGCTCAACTACATCTGCAGAGAGCAAGGGGCCTTCTCCTAAAGAGATACCAGAGTTTTGGCACCGGGCTGGGTGCGGTGGCTCATGCCTATAATCCTAGCACTCTGGGAGGCTGAGGCAGGAGGATCACTTGAGCTCAGGAGTTCAAGACCAACCTGAACAAGAGTGAGACCCCGTCTCTACTAAAAATAGAAAAAAATTAGCTGGCAACAAATTTTTAAAAATTAAAAACAATTAAAAAATAAAGAAAAACAACAACAACAAAGTTTCAGCATGGACCATGATAGACTCAGGGAACTCAGGGAACCAGGACTCACGGAACCAAAGGCAGTATGCTGGTTGGACACTCCCACCCTTGTACCCTCCATGTGACCCCAGGTGGCAACTGTGCCCCCCCCTCAGAACCAGCACACACAGTGCCAACTTGATGCTTGCTTTTTCAACTTCCTTTCAATCTCCTTCACCACTTCCCCTATGTCAACCTAGACATTGTCTAAGGTCATTAAAAGCTATTATTTATTGAGAGGTTCCTGTGTACTAGGTACTGTGCTAAAGAAGCACTTTTTCCATTTCCTATTGTGTTGGAGCTCCCAAGACCACCCTCCACATTAGGAGATTTGCTAGAAGAACTCACAGGTCTCTGCATATAATTGTAATCACGGCCACCATTTGTTATAGCGGCATCGTAAGCATACACAGCTAGTTCACAAGGGAAGAGTCGGGCAGAGTGTGGAGCAATCCATCTGCAGATTTCCGTATGCTCTTCCTCTCACAGGGAGTCACACAGAGCCCACTCATCCCCTGCAATGAAAACATAGCCATGTATGTGTGATGCCTCTACCCAGGGAAGCCCACCAGAGCCCCAGTGCCCAAGGTTTTCATTGGGGTAGTCACATAGACACCTCTGTCTATCATGTGGCACAGTCCCAGGAAAGCAGGTATTCAGCACAACCTCTACTGTTCATACCATGTAGGCACAACGAGCCACTCTTTATCAATTAGAGAAAGTTTTATGTCAGTGTAGGAAACTTACTAGACAAGGTTCCAGATGCAGCCAACGGCCAACCTTGCAAGCAGGCCTTTCTAAGGGTAACAGTCTCAGGCCTGCTACGCTACCTATTTTCTACACACCCTTTTAATTCTCTTGACATGCAGGACCAAAGAAGTCCAACAGCCAACAAATGAGGGGGCAGGCACTCAGATCCTATGCCATTCCAAAGCTGGGCTTTGACCATCATGCCATCCTCCCCCCCATTTTCCGACTCTCTTCTCTTCTTGCTGTTCCACCTTCCTATTCCCCCTTCCATCCAAGGCTGCGCCTCCTTCCCCCAACTCCTCCCTAGTAATAAACTTCCTACCCACTTACGATGTCTAGTGGAGTCAGAAGCTTTGCAAAGTGGCTCAAATATCTCAAGTAATCCTCAGGAGCACCACCATCAGATATGTACGGAAAACCCATTTCTAGCATTTAGCCAAGTGTGCTGATGTGTTGAACAAACATTTTCTAAGCACTTACGATATCATTATAATTATGTGCCAGGTCCAGTGGTAAGTCCCAGAGGTAGGAAGATGAATAAGACCCAGCCCCTGCCCTCAGGCAGCTCATGCTTCCACAGGAACAGAGGAGATAGAGAGGAAAACAAATAACAGCAAGGCCTTCACATTTGCATAGCACATCACGGACTCACACGCGCTGCGATCTGACCCTCACACCAGCCATCAGTGAGGCAGGGCAGGCCTCATCATCCCCATTTTCCAATGAAGAAACCAAAGCCCTATGGAGAAGAAGAGCCTCTCCCAATGCCATGAGGACAGGATGAGGCAGTGCTGATGCTGGAAGCCCAGCCTCCCTAGCAGCAGCGGGTCCCAAGGCCTTTGTCTTCCTTGGTTCTCAGTTCCTGCTTCCTATTCTCTTTCGCAGAGAGAAAGAGAATCTCTTTCGTGTCCATTCTCACTCTCGACTCCCTCTTAGGTATATATCCTCGCCTACAGATCTATGAGAATTGGGATTACTCGGAACTGGATCCAGAGAGATTCTGGAGAGAAGAATTATTGCTACAGAGGAAAAGAAAGATAAGGGGTAAGATACCAGCTATGGCCTCCTGCCCCTTTTGCCCCCTACCACACCCAACCATCATCTAATTGAGGCAGGAGAGGGCCTCAGCATTGCTGTCCTCAGGCCAGGTCTTCTCTCAGGTGCCTCTAAACCAGCCACCAAAATGGCCAAAGTGTTAATGCTTACAAGCTGCAGTCAGAGTCCGCATGCAGAATTGTTGGGATACAGGGTATGGAATTTTATATTTAAGGAGTAGATGCCAGTTAATGGGTGTCTACTATGTGCCAGACACTGTGCTGGGTTCTCTGCCCATTTTATTTCATCCTCAGGACAACCCACTGAAGTACACACTAAATCCACTTCACAGATGAGGAAACTAAAGTTCAGAGAAGCAACTTGCCCAAGGCCAACGTTTCTATTTCACTCCACAGACACGTAATGAACATGGTGTGCCCAACACTGGGAACACGGCTGCAGAGGAAGCACAGTCCCTCCTTATGACCTAGGCAACACAGTTAGACTGCAGGAGATTGATTGGGTGCTGAGATGGGATGGAGGGTAGAACAGCAGGGGAGGGGTACCCGGTCCAGCCCTGAGGAGGTCAGTAGGTGGCATTTAATCAGAGATATGAAGAATGTGTTGGTCTGAGGACCAGAAGCATTAGCATCTCTCCAGATCAAGTGAATCAGATTCTGCAGTTTGCCAAGATCCCCAGTGATCCAGAAGCACATTCCAGTTTGAGAAACCCTGGCATAGGGCACCAAGGAAGAGAATACCTGGCAACCCCTGGAGCAGGGTTATGGTGCAGTATTGGCTGGAAATGACAAAAGCCACCACTTATTCAGGGCCGGATACTTTTATCTGTTACCTTTTAAGCATTTCCATTTATAGACTCCCTAATAGACATGATTTCCCAGTAGTCATCATGCACACTAAGGGAGTTTTTTCAAAGTGAAAAAAAAAAGTCTAACCTATAAATTGTCTTTTAAGTTAGTGACCTTTTAACAAATATTAAACTTAACAGTTTATGACCTTGATAGTTTCTTTTTTAAGCATTTAACCCAACATTTATTCATTTCTATTTTGCAGGGTTCTGAGTTGTTGGTTTTCTTTTGAAGTCAATACTTTTTTTCCTGTAGGTTTAGTGCTGGCCCTGTGCACAGGGCCCCGCATACATTATTGCCTTTAATTGGCTCATCAGCTCTGGAGGTAGACAGTATACACACTCTTGAACAGAATCAGAGAGGTAACTTGCCCAGCAGGTAGAGTCAACAAAGAGGCTAGAGTCTGCCTGGGTAGCTGTCACTGGCCTCCAGGGAGGGGCTGTCCCAAAGTTCCTGGTCTGAAAGCTTCATTGCCCTGTGGCAAGAAGGAACTAAAGAACAGCTTTTCCCTTCCTTAGGAAGAGAGCTTTTTCCCTTCCCTTATAAGACATACTACCAGAGGATAGAGGAGAGCAAGAAGTCCAGCCGCTGTCAGGTAAGTGGGGCGGCACAGGTCGGGACCCTCTGGAGCCACATAGGATTCGGAAACCCTGGGTTCTTTCGGAGCACAGGTGGCCTCCTGTTGGCTGCACATCTCTGTTCCCCCTGCCCCCGTTCTACCCCATCTACTCAGCGAAGGGCCCTTTGAGGCCCCCAGACCACCTGTGGGTGAGAGTAGCACTAGGGGTAGCCACAGAAATGCAGAGATTGGGAGGAGACAGGAAAGGAACCAGCCTCTAAGTGTAAGCTGCAGTGTGAGATGCTTTTATATCTTTTTTTCTCCATTAATTCTGATGGCAAGCTTGAAATCTGGCAGTCATCCCTGACTCCCACTTCCTCCTCTGCCCTACTGATGTTTCTGTTGACGTACCTCCCAGCACCATCCACTTTTGCTCTTGCACTCCCACCAGCCTAGTCTGGGCTCCCATGTTACTGCAGTGGGCTCCTAGCTGGTCTCCCACAGGCTGTCAGCTTCCCCATAGCCAGTCTCTCCAAAATGCAAAGCTAATTACATCATCCCCTCACCACCTGACCCTAATCTATCCCCCCTACCCTAAAAGCCCTCTTTCCAGTCCAAATAAAAAACACCTTCCACACCCCAGAAGCCTTCCTGTAGTCTTTTGGACAGACGGACCTGCGGGACCTGCCTTTTCTTGACCAAACCCTCTCCACCCTCCTGAACTCTCGGGCTCCTGCCACAGGGGCCTTCTTTCAGTTCCTTGTATATCCTACACTCTCACCCTAAACGTGGCCTCTGCACCTGCTATTCCTCTTGTCCCAGGTAGGCTCCCAACACCACTGCCATTGTCATCGTCAGCATTTCCTCCCAATTTTAACTTCAGAGAGGTCACATTGGTAGCATTCAATTAAATGCCACAAATAATGGCCTGTTTTTTCTGAAGACCTGGAAAAAAATAAAAGTCCAGAGAGGGTTTGGCAAACTATCCACCAGGCCTTTTAATACCTGTTTTTATAAATAAAGCTTTATTGGCCTACAGCCACGGTCATTTATTTACTATTGTCTACAATTACCTTTGCACTGAAGCAACAGGGTTGAGTGCTTGCAATAGAGACTTTATGACCTACAGAATTGATCTGGCTCTTTGCAGAAAAAGTTTTTCAACCCCTGGTCTGGGAGATACATGCTCATCTTTCCATCTCAATTCAGTCTCTTGTAGGGGAGGAAAAATCTTTCCTTTACCCTCTTAAGCAAAGTGTATGGAGCCCTACAAATTAAACTGCTGAAAGACATTAACAAGTGAAAGGCACTCAAATTTTATTTGATGTTAATATTTTTACATGATACAGGGGACTTCATAGGAAAGAAGTGAAAACCCCAAGGAAGCAGTTAGGCATGATAGCTTATCTACCATTTTAACAAAGAGCAATAAATTGTGGAGCCTCAACAAGGTAAAGGAAAGGTGTTTGGACTTCTAGGGATGGTAAATTGTGGAAGAGTAAATACATGGGGAAGTTAAAGGAAGATAAGCATTATTTCAATCAGGTTTGTTTATGCAGATTCAAGTTGGTGGGTCTCCAGTGATGAGTTATTTCTTCTTCCTGGTACAGGAGAGAGCAAGGGGAGACACCTTCACAAAGGAAAATCTATGCCTTGCTTTTAGATGGAAAGGGGAAGGGAGGGTAGCTTTCCCCATCTGTTCTTTCTCAGTTGCCTTCAGTTTAAAATAACTCTTATACCAAAGTCATATATTTTGGGGTGCCATGTTCTGATCCCCTTCACTCTCATCCTTGGGGTTAACTTTCTAACTCTCTGGGCTGGATGAGGTTCCTTACTACACGTGCTTGATATCCGTTTCCTTCAGACCACTCACACGATTATTTGGTCATTATTTTGATCATGGCTGCCTCCCCACTAATCTTCAAACTCTAGGACAATATTCCCACTTCTAATTCCTAAATGCCCCATTCCTAACACCATGTTCATTTTAAACAAATAGTATATGAGGGCTGGATTCATTGTTAGAACAGCTTTCCCCCTTTATTTGGTGCAGGGTTCTGAGTATTTCCACCCTGGAACATTTGCCAGTGGGAGGTTTGGAATGGGGGAAGGGTGTGCCTTTCTTTTGTAAAGTGCGATAAGGGCTATTGTGAACACCAACCTGCACATTCTCAGGGCAATCATTTTAGAAAACAGTTTGAAAGGAAATTTGAGGATCTGGAAATGGATGCTCTTAAAACTGTTAGTCCCATTAGTGCTTGGAAGGTCTCCACAGAGTTTGAAGATCTCTGGTTAAGAGCCTGTCCTCCTGGGTTCAGATTCTAGCTGTGTGGCCTTGGGCAAGGTACTTAACTTCCCTAAGACTTTGTTTCCACAGGTGTAAAATGAGTACAATAACCATGGTGCCTTCTTGCTGACATTATGAAGACTATGCAGCCCGCCCCTCAGCACTCAGCACTGCCTGGCTGCACCCCCACACTCCCCTCGCATGTCCAGATCCCCCTCCTTAAAACTCTTACACTCTGCCCGCCTTTCAGACTTCTTCCACTGCGGCCTGCCTTGCCCCACTCACCTTCCACCCTGGCACCTCCCAGCCTGCCCCATCTGCTGCTGCTCCATGCTGTGGAGGGCCCTGCTCCCCTCTGTGGCCAGCCCAACCTGTGCTCTGGAACTCGCCCCTCTGCCTCCCCAAGGACAGCTGCTGTCAGCGCCCTCTCTGGCACTGTCACTCTCTCCTGCTTTGTGGGACCATTTCCACTGTTGAACAAAGGTGCTCTGGCACCTACCTTATCTTTAAAAAGAAAACCTCCTTTGACTTCACATCCCTATTTCTGCTCCCTTTCACACCAGAACTTGTTGAAAGACATGTCTGCACCCAGATGTCCTTTCCTCACCTTGCACATGCCCTCAGTGATGCCGGTTGGGCTCCTGCCCATGGCTGGTCACTGCACTGCTCTTGCCAGCAGCAACCGGACCCTAGGTGGTCGGACTTTGCAGTCATTTCTCTAATCTGTGTCTGCTGTGGTTGGCCATTCCCACCTTCTTGAAATGCTTTGTTCTCTCAGCCTGTACATTGCCAGACTCTTGCCAATGTCTTCCTGCCTTGCTGGCCGCCCCTTCTCAGTCTTCTTTGCCTACTCCCTGTCCTATAGGTCCACTCTGTCCCAGGGCCCCTGCCCTGCCCTGTCTACATATTCTCCCTAGGCAGCCTCATCTGGTCTGGTGGCTTCAAATATCACCCGTGTGCCAGTGACACCCAAGTCTCCCGTCCCTGCTTCTCCCAGAATTCACCTTGGTCTGCCCACTGGCCCTCTCGACCTCACCTGGAGGACCTCAGACTAGCAGCACTTGACCCCCCAGCCCCTAGTGTCACCTCTTGCCTGTCTGACTGCAGTGGCCCAAACCCAGTCTGCACACTGTGACTACAGTGACCTTTTACAGGCATATATCAGATGGGGGTCATCTCCTGCTTAAAACATCAAATAGCTTGGTGCACTTGGCAGAGCAATAGTGTACTTGGAATAAAATCCAGTCTCCCTCACCTGACTTGCCATGCCCTGCAGAACCCAGCTACTGCCTCTCTCTCTAGCCACCTCGCACCATTCTCTCCCCCAGAACCAGACGCCAGCCCACTGGGCTTCCTTCTGCTTCTTGGACACTCCACACCCACACTCAGTTGGGTCTTTGCACCAGCTGTCACCTTTGCCTGGAACATGTCTGGCTCCTCCTGCTCCCTAGTTTCACTGCTATTGTCCCAGAGGTGTTGCCCCTGACCCCCCAGCCACTCTCATCACATCACCTACTTTCAGTCCCTGTACAGGGCTTACCACGATCTACTCTTCTTCCCATGGAGCTTATGTATGGCTTAGAATTCGTTTTAGAACAGGATTTTTTTTTCCTTTATGGCTCTTCTATCTCCTTTATCTCCTATAATAGACCTAGCACAGAGAAGGCACTCAGCAAATTGCTTCTGGACTTTGTGAGTGAGATCACATCTGCAAACTCTTGGTCCTGTGCTTGGCGTATAATGGTTGCTCTATCAGTGTCAGCTCCCATAAAGTGCGATGGAGCAGGTGCTGCAAAAGGACAGCTGTCACTCAGAGACCAAGATCAATATGTTTTTTAATGTTTTGATACTGCCTGTCACAACAGCCTGAGATGAATGTATTTTCTTTGTACTGAAATACATAAAATCTTCTGACAATTATTTCAGGAACCCAGCTAAGAGATTTCATTTTCCACCCCAGAAATAGAAATAATCACAAACTCTGGAACCTTGAAAACAGCTGAAGTGTTAATGGGAAAACCAGGATGGAGAGAGTAATTGAATTCTGTGGTGGGGACAGAGCTTCTCTTGTCATGAACAGACATATTTCCATCTGCTCAATGCAGTAGCTGGCTATGTTCAAAATATGCTTTTCAATGGCAACAGTCTGTCTGAGAGTCCACAATTGAGAGAAATGAGTTGCAATTACTTTAAGTCTGTGACTTGCCATCTGCCCCTCTCTTTTTAAGTGCTGGGGGTTTGCACAGTAGGAATGAAAAAGTATCTAACCATATATCTGGCTTTTGCTATGAGACCCAGCTATAAATTAGGGCTCCTATCTATTAGAGACTGAGTCATTTATTCATTTAATACATATTTTAAAAGACAGTGAAAGATAGGCTGGGCATGGTGGCTTAATGCCTGCCATCCTAGCTACTTGGAAGGCTGAGGCGGGAGAATCACTTGAGGCCAGGAGTTGGAGACCAGCCTGGGCAATAGTGATACCCGGTATCTACAAACAAACAAACAAACAAACAAAAATACATAGTGAAAGAAGGTCTCATAAGGAGGAATCATCAGAGTTCTTAGTTGCAAACAACAGAATCCACTCCAGCTACTTTGAGTAGAAAGAAATGTATGGAAGGGTATTAGTGGTACACAGCTCCCCTGGAAGAGCCACTGTGTTAGCCTCAGAGGCTGTGCTGCCAACAATGATGCCCAGACCATACTGCCATTGTGAAGGCATGCTGCTGTGCACCAGTGTTACCGGGGACTGGAAGCTAAAAGCTCTACTCTGCTTCCTTTGAAAAACCAGCTGCCCCTGTCAAAAATCTCTCCAAAAACTGGAGTCTGCGTGCTGCCCATTTCCTCACCTTGCTCATTTCCATCTTGAAGTTTTAGGTGAGTATATCTGAAGGTGGAGCCTAGGAGAAAGGTCTGAATCCCAGCCACAAAGGAAGCTGGGAAAGCAACTTAAGTCTTTTTCCCTGGGGGATGAATCTCATATATGTGGACAAAGAAGGGCACACCCATAGCAAATAATGCCCCCAGAGGTGCCACTCCAGCTGACATCCAAAGGACAGGAGTCAGCCATTGGAAGAGTAAATGGAAGAACCTACCAGGAAGAAAGAACAGCATGTGCAAAGACCCTGAGGCAAAAAAAGAGCTTGAGTACTCAGGGAACAGAAAGAAGGGCAGTGGCACTGTACCCTAGTGAGTGAGGTGAGGAGAGGCAGGAGTCAAGACTGGGGACATAGGCAGGACTGGATGCTGCCGCATTGGGACAGTCATAGGAAAGAATATGGACATAATTTAAATGTCATAAGAATTCATTAAAATAAGGGAACAACATAATCGTAGTTACTTTTTTAAAAGATGGCACTGTCTTCTGAATATGGAGAATGTATTAGAGGGACACAGAAGACCAGCTAGGAGGTTTCTGTGGTTGTCTAAGAGACAGTGGCAGCAGGTGGCAAGAAGCAGACAGACCCAAAGTGTGTTGAGGAGAGAGATCTTACAACACTTGTTAATAGATTGACTTTAGGAGTGGGGAGAAGTGGAGAAGAAAGGACAGAGCTTAAGGATGTTCCCCAGGGGTATGGCTTAGGCAGCTGGAGGCTGCCATTTACTGAGATGGAAAGTGTAGAGTCTGGAGTATAGGAAAGCTATCAAGAGTTCAATTTTGAACTTGTTAACTTTAAGATGCCTGTGAGAAATGCAGATGGAGATGTCAAGTTGGTGAAAATACAAGACTGGACTTTGGAGGAGTGGTCTGTGTTAGAGTTCAGTTTCTACCTAATCGAAAATATGGGAACTGGGAGTGAATGACCAACACACAGAGCCACAGGCAAAGGCAAAAAACACCAGGCATGCCCCCAGAAGACCCAAATTCCCATCTAGGTAATGCCAACCATTCACTTTAAGCAAATCTGAGCCTCCGTGTTCTTATCTGCAAAATGGGCATCACAAATGGTATTAAGTCTTATAGATTCAATCTAGGGGTGAGTGATATTGCATAGACTGTGGTCTAGTCCTGTCCTGTCAGAATGTCTACTGATTTTAACCGGAATTTCCCCAACTTCCAGAGTGTGAGTACAGTCATGGTCATTAACCGTAATGGCCCAAGTTCCTCTACTTCATGCCCATACCTGCTAATCCCAGATCTGCACAGCCCACTCCCCTCCCAGAGATTTCTGGTTATCCCCAGACTGTATCACACAGTGGCTCAAAAATAGGCTCTCCCTGCTACTCTGCTCCCATCATACCTGAGCCCTCTGTGTGCCAAACCTGAGCAGCAAGGTGACCAGGTAGAGTAGAATAACCCTGTCTCCTCTGTGATATGGTGGGGCAGGGGGTCCCAGAACAATCTTCCTTTAAACCCAACCCCAGTGATAGTCACCTTGGCTCACACACTCATGGAGAGGTGGCTGGTTGCAACATGAGGAAGGCAGGGTCGTTATAGAGAGTCCACCCTGTACAGGTTTTCTTTGTTCTGTATATCCTCTCGATTCCTTACAGCAGCCCTGCAAGGGGGATAATTATTACTTATTGTCTTTATTGGACAAAGGAAGAAATGGACTCAGAGAGGTGAGCGACTTGCCCCAGGCCACACAGCCCACTGCAGCTGGTATCCGGGCTGCCAGTCTGGCTTCTGCCCCGGCATGCTGCCTCTCCCACAAATAGGAGGGTCTAATAGCAAAGGCACGCTGGTCCCCTTGCATTGTTCTCTGCTCCACTGCAGATCTCACAGAGGCCCATTAAGAATGAGCACTGATGCTTCATTGAGTCCTGGGAGTGTTTTCCCAGTAACCACTTCAACACTATAAAAATCAGTTGCTGTTGGACAACCAGATGCATGATGTATGAGAATTCGTTTCAGCTTTCTCCTGCCCATTCAAATATCACATTTATATAAAAGCAAAGAGGTTGTTGAGGCTGGTGGACTGCTTGTCTGCCACTTGGTGGGCCATCTGTTTAACATTGTCAGACTCCTACTCATCCCTAAAGACAGAATGAAAGTGTCTTCTTTCCTTGGAAGCCTTCCAGCTCTCCCTCAGACAGTCAAGCATTCCCCACTCTGACTTCCCATAATAGTTTCTTTATACTGCTTGTAGCCAGCTATGAGTTGTTCCCCAATATCTGTTGTCCCCTTCATCTATGAAAAGAGAACCTGTGATTTTTGGCTGGGCAGGTACATGGCCAGAATAAAGACTATCTCCTAGCCTCCCTCCGTCTATATGCAGCTATGTGATTAGGATTCAGTTAATGAGATATAAGTGGATGTGCCATGTGGCAGTTCTGGAAACCTTTCTTAAAAAGCAGCCGTGTGAACCCTTCCTCTCTTTGTCCTTTCCTCCCTCCTGCTGCCTGGAATGTGAGTGTGATGGCTAGAGCTCCAGCTGCCATCTTGAACCTTAAGAACAAGGGTCCTATCTTAGGGAAGGTTGAGCTTTGAGCTGGAAACAGTCAGAGCCCTTGAAGACATAACATCGCAGCAGGAACATCGTGTGAGCCCAGACTGCCTATCTTCAGACTTTATGTGAGAGAGAATGGCTACCTAGTTTGAGCACTGTTATTTAGAGTCTCCGTAACTCACATCCAAATGTGATTCTAACTTATATTACCCCTCTCACAAATATGTGACACTTTCCACCCCTCAGTGTAACTATCTGTGTATTATGTCCCCTGCTAGACTGGGAGTTCCTCAAGACAGAGACTAGGTTTTATTATTTGCCCAGTGCCAGACACATGAGTCGTTGCCCAATGAATGTTTACTAAAGGAGGTGTGATGAGTGATCGCATAACCAATGACAGCAGTGTTTTCAGAGCACTTACCGTGAGCCACTCATGCACTCTGCATGCATGAGCTGACTTAATCCCGCAAGGAAACTGAGGCAGTAGAGAAATCACCAGCCATTGAATGAGGGTTGGGATTGGAACCCCAGTCGGCCTCAGTTCCCAGTCCATGTGCTTCCACGAAAGCCTCTGCTGGCATTGGCCAGCAGCACCTGGAGGATCTGCCCTTGGTGAGAACAATGAGAAAGAGCTAAGAAATTGCATGTATTACTTTTTTGTATTTCTCTCACTACCAGTTTTGCTAACTTTGTTCTCCCCTCTCTCTCTGTTGTTTTTTTGTTTGTTTGTTTTTGTTTTGTTTTTTGTCCCCTGGAGTCTTCTAATGTATATTTATACCATGAAAAATGCTCTTCGGCCAAGCAGAATGCAGAAGTAAACACACGACCACAGAATACCGTAAAAGGTACATTAACTACCAAAAAGGGAAATATAGGCTTTTGGTTTAGTTATTATCTCCAAAACCCTGCTCTCTTGGGCTCGTTTGAACATAATTTGCCACCTGCTTTACACTTGGGGTTCTAGCCTGGGCCTCAGCACCAAGTAATATTTTAGAAAAGGATGGATAATAATTGTCTGTTCAGCTCAATGAGCACGATTAAGTTCCACTTTTGTGATGATTAGTTAAGCACAGTGCTGTTGTCTGTGAGGAAGAGAGGTTATTGACACTGGAAGAAAACAGATTTAAGATGTGATTACCGCTTCTCTCCCTCACCAGAAACCAGCATTTATTGAGGTAGGAACTGATTTGTCTCCACGTTTTAATTTATAAAGGTGATGAGTGAAAACATGGAAAGGTCAATGCCATTGAAAGAAAAGTTCAATGTTACTTACAGTTCATCGAGAAACCGGAGCACAGCACACCACGCAGGCCTTCCCCTTGAGAATTTGTCAGACTTTCCTGGTTCTTTGTGAAGTAATTTTGGACTGTATTTTGGGCATTTTAATATTATGAGACTCTGAGTTTTGTTTAAATGAAGAGAGAAGGTTGTGTTGCTTTGTTTTGTTTTAACAAGCAACTCACCCAATTAGGTTCAGACCACAAGTTCTAACCTTTTTCTTGTAGGTTGTTGTCTCGCTGTCGGTTCAGATTTCAAAACTTTTGGAGCGCTATTTTGATCTGTCCTACATATGTGACACCTGGGGACCACACTGGCGACCAGAGCAATGATCTACCTGATAGTTCCGTACTTAAACCCATAGCATGCTGTTTAGGATCAGATACACTTACATATGCGCAGCTCCAGGGTGAGCACAGGCATTCACACACAATTTTATGGGATTCCTTTTTTGATCTCCTCTGCATTCTTCCCCACACTCTGGCTCCAAAGATCCTCTTTTCTGGTCTTCTGGCTAGAAAGCTGGGACTTTAGTGTCTCCACTCTGCTGCATACTTCCTGTGATTGGGTCTGGCCAACTGGGAGGAGGACAGAGAAAGAAAAAAGCAACAAGGATTCTCTTCACACTCTTTGGACCACAGTCCTCTGGTCCAAGACAGGATTCCACTCTCTCAGAAGTGCAGATGCCTGTCCAGCTGCCACTTCTGCTGCTGCCACCATCGTCACAGGGTTGTAGCTTCAGGAAGGGGGCCTGCCTAGGGGAATGGGTGGGAGAGAAAAACAAAACAGATCCCCCTACTTTTACTGTACCATCAGGATCTCCCTTCCCACTCCTTGGACCACAACAGAGGGCTTCTGTTGGATCTCTTTCTGTCTTTGCCTGGTACTTGGTTCTGGGACTTATGTTGCCTTTGAGCTAGTACACATAGGAGGAAAAATAAATCCAGAAAGCATATCATCCTGTGGCTCCTATTTTGAGTTCTAGTTTCCTTCTCCAGTTCCTCTGCTACCATGTCCTTTTCAGAGTCCTCAGGTAGCTTCCCCTGCATTCTGTCTGGGGTTTTTAGTTACATTTGCTGGGAAACGGAAGAATGTCCTTACTCCATCTTAACCGGTACTAGAACCCTGATTGAGTTTTTTGTTGTTGTTGTTCTATTTTTCTTACTCCATTTTATTGTTTTGGGGGAAGTTATACATTGTGTTTATATTCTTTGTTGCAGTGGTTCTCAATGAGGGTCAGTTTCCTCCCCAAGGGACATTTAGCAATGTCTGCAGACATTTTTGGTTGTCATAACTTGGGTAGAGGTTGCTATTGGCATGTAATAGGTAGAGATCAGGGATGCTGCTAAGTATCTCACAATGCACGGGACATTCCCCTACAGCAAAAAGCCATGTGACCTGAAATGTCAACAGTGCCGAGGTTGAGAAACCCTGCTTTGTTGTATGCCTTTGAAATTCTATCATGCATATTTAACTGCATCTAAAGTTAAATAATATCTTAACCTACTCCCTTTCCTGAACAAAACAAGGACCTTAGAACAGTTTAAATCCAATCCCTTTTCTCCAGACTTAAATGCTATTCTCTCTACTGTTTTTAGTTATGTCCTATTTTAAAATCTCACAAATTAGATATAATAATTATTAGATATAATATTTATATTATTGTAGGGGTTTATTTTGGTCATAAATTATTTTATTTGCCTACTTCTTGAAACTCAGACCATCTTTTTGGGATCATTTTTCATCTTCCTAGTGGGGGAGGGAAATACATACATACACACACATATATACACAAATATATAAACATATAATCTTTCACAGTTTGTTCATCGCAGGTTTCTTGGTAAGTTCCCTTAGTTTTTGTTTTTCTATAAGAGTCTTTATTTCATCACTTCTCAGCCTTTTGGCTAAAATCAAGTGTAGTATCTATTCTTATCAATTTAAATGTCTTTATTTTATCTTTGTTTTTTTTTGTTTTTTGTTTTCTTTTTACAAATCTCAATTAGTGGGAATTATCTTTGTTTTTGAAGGATAGTTTTGCTGGGTACACAAGTCTAGCTTAACAGTTATTTTCTCAATGCTTTGGTGATTTTATCCCACTGTTTTCCAACTTCCCCTGTTACTGTTGGGAAATTAGTTGTCATTCTAACTTTTATCCATTTGTAGATAATCTGTTATTTCTCTCTGCCTGTCTTTTCTTTTTTTTTCTCCTAGAGATCAGGTCTTGCTCTGTTGCCCAGGCTAGAGTGCAGTGGTGCAATCATAGCTCCTTCCAGCCTCAAACTCCTAGGCTCAAGCAGTTGTCCCACCTCAGCCTCCCAGGTAGCTGGGACTGCAGGCTCTGTTCATCTTTAAGATGTTCTCTGTGAATCTTCTCCTCCAGAAAAACCATAGTTTTGTGCAAGAGTGGTATCATCATTTTTGTCTCTTAATCACAAAACCCATCCTGGTGCTGCTTTTTAAAAGATTTTACAACTTTCCTTCCTTATTCTGTGACCATCCTGTATCCTGTAGAGAATTCTATCATGTCACTTGTACATAATAAGTGCTATACTTATTATATACATGTCTTTTTTTCTTACTAAACTATGAGTTCCTCAAAGATAGCCTATTTCTAGCATCTAGCATGGACCTAGTACATAATAGATGCAGTAAATATTTGTGGGATGGACAAATGTGTGGCCTGCAGGTATATATCTGGCTAAAATGCAAACAGAATTGTATGAATTTACCTGAGCTACTTCCTCTAGCATCTCCCAGAGATCTGAACGCATGCAGGTGTTTTCACTTTAACAGGAAGCTGCGCTCTACCAGGTTCTTTCTCATCACAGCTGGCAAGCTTCAGTAATTTTTTCTTTTGCTAATATATTGGCAGAGCATTATGGTCAGGTCCTAGTCTTGAGGAAAGCTACACAACAAGTCAAGAGGATATCAGAAGCAAGAGAATATGAGAATATGCTTCCTAGAAAGGTGAGTACATGATTGGAAATTTAATAGTAGAGGTGATTTAAAAGGGGACAGGAAATGTGGCTAGAAAGTCTAGCTCTGTGAAGGTGTCAGAGTGAGAATTGGGGGTATTTCAGATTATACACTCCAGAGAGTAGTTCCTGGGTGAGTAGACACGAGTTGAGAGAGCACTTTGTCTGGATTTCTCAGGGATTTAGATCACCTGCTTGAGGCCAGGTGTGGTGGCTCATGCCTATAATCCTAGCACTCTGGGAGGCTGAGGCAGGAGGATCGCTCAAGGTCAGGAGTTGGGGACCAGCCTGAGCAAGAGTGAGACCCTGCCTCTACTAAAAATAGAAGGAAATTAGTGGAACAACTAAAAATATATAGAAAAAATTAACCAGGCATGGTGGCGCATGCCTGTAGTCCCTGTTACTCAGGAGGCTGAGGCAGGAGAATTGCTTGAGCTCAGGAGTTTGAGGTTGCTGTGAGCTAAGCTGCCACCACGGCACTCTAGCCCAGGCAACAGAGTGAAACTCTATCTCAAAAAAAAAAAAAAATATATATATATATATATATATACATATATATATATATATCACCTGCTTGAAACTCAGGAGCCTGTGTGTAATGGAAAGTAAGCACTAGCCTCAGTTTCCCACTCTACAAAACGGGACAGTAATTCTTCCTAGATCATGATGTTGTTATACGATTTACCTGAGGCAGTGATGGTAACTAACATTTAATGATCACTTACTCCATGTCGGGCACTATACTAAACCTTATACAAGCAGTATATTTTATTTTACATCACAGTCGGAGACTTGCATGCAGATCTGTCTGGCTCTGAGCCTGAGTTCTTCATCACTGAGCTCCGCTCCCGCACAGCACCCAGCACTGGAGAGGCTCTAAATTCATGTTCTCTCCCCTTCTCCTCGCCAACCCCAACTCCTTCCCACAAACCCCAGTGGATGGTAGTTTAGCTCAATGGAACCCTCAGTCTCATTTAGTGGGAAAAGGCCCTGAGGACTCTGAGCAGGGTGAGAGGTTTCGGGCTAGCAAGGGAGTCAGGCCATAGAATTGGGCCAAGTATAGTGAGGACTGTAGACTTCTTAAACCTTCTATATTTCTTTGTATGTATCAGCACTGCCTATTTCCCCATAGCATTTGGCAATGGAGCTTCTGAGAAGTAACTGGGCATGGTGGAAAAGACAGGCAGACATGGGTTCAAATCTTGGTGCTGCCTCTCACCACCTGTGCAAGTTTTTAACCATTTTGACTTTCTTTTATAAAATGGGGAAAACAAAGCCCAGCAGACTTATGGTCCTTAATGGTGATGGAGTTGGTAGGTTTGCTCTCAAGGTAGGACGAAAGGAGATGAGTAGTCAGTCCTATTCTGTGGTCTGTCTTGGTGAGGATCGCATTAGAGTGGGTGGTGGCAGATTTTAACAAGAACCAAAAGCAACTGAGAGCTGAGTGCCCGGCAGGGAAAGGTGGAAGGGAAGTGCCAAGACATGCTCAGCTGTTAGTGACTCCTCCCTTGGCCACAGGTCTATTGTGCTTGTTGTCCTGTTAGCCTGGAACACCTCCTGACAGATCTCCCCAGGCTCCCTCCCCTCACATCATCCTCCCTGATCACCCAGGGAACAGGGGACACAGTCCTGTCATCCCTACCACTCTCCATCCCCTCACCAGCCACCTGATGCTTACTAATCTCCATAACATCATGTCATTCTTTCATTTGTTGATTTGTTTATTGTTTTTATCTCAACTGTAATACAAGCTCCATGAGGGCTAGAATTTGTCTTGCTCTCTGTAGAATCTCCAGCACCTAAAATAGTACAAATACATAGTAGTTACTCAATAAATATTTGCTGAATGAATTAACATTTTGGTAACATCCAGTCCTTCATCCATCATTTTTTAACTGATTTATTTCATATAAGATATACATACTACTATCTAATTTTGCATCTCAATTTTTAAAAAGTTACTATTATACCTGAAACTTTTATTTAGGTTATCAACTCTTCTTAACTATTTTAATATTGTGATTATAACCACTCCTTTGGGTCAAGATATCAATATCTTCTCCTTGAACATTTAGGTTATTCTAATCTTTTGCTATGTATAGTAAATATCTCTGCAGTAGACATCTTCATACCTAAACCTCTTTCTTTCTTTCTTTCTTTCTTTCTTTCTTTCTTTCTTTCTTTCTTTCTTTCTTTCTTTCTTTCTTTCTCTCTCTCTCTCTCTCTCTCTCTCTCTCTCTCTCTTTCTTTCTTTCTTTCTTTCTTTCTGAAACAGGAGAGGAAGAGGTGGGGGTAGGGGAAGGCCCTTTTTTTCTTTATTTTCAGTAATTTCCTTAGGATACATCCTAAAACTGGAATTACAGGATCAAAGGACACGAGTGCCTTTCTGTTTCTTAATACATGCTGTAAAAATGACAGCGTCCTTTATTTTTCCCCTCTTTTTTTCATCCTCAGTCTTGCCCTGCTTGCAAGAGCCCTGAAATGGCTTTAAACTTCTTCAACGTTTATGGGAAGAGCCCTCTGATCGTGTACTTTCTCCATAACTACTCCAATCTACGGCAGCACGGCAAGGACATGTTGATAGTCAGGAGGGAAAGGACCAAAAGCGTCCCATATCCTTGTCACTGCAGACAGGGCACACTGTGCCTGCACATCGTGGGTGTTGTCAGGGGTGGCCATTGATAAGAGCTCCAGGGTCAGAATCTCATTTTAGTTCCAAATCTAGAGCCAGCCTCATGAACTGGCTTTGAGACGCTGGGAATGTTGACTTTCCTTGGTGCAAAATCTCCTTTCTTCCATCTATCAGAATGCATGGGCTAACCAGGGACTCTAGCATACTGTAAAACTAAATAATGCTTCCCATATGCTCATTGACCCCAGAGTGTGTACAGACCAGGAATTTTGGTGTCCTTGTGTATGTTTTATCTAACACCCTCCTCACACACACTCCTCCTCCAGACCTATCAGCAAATTCCTGGCCCTGTTGCCATTTATCCTAAAGATCTGCTTAAAAGCTCAGAGCTCAAGAAAACAGGTGTGGCATGTGTTGGTGTCCTGAGTCTTAACAGTTTACCATAGCGGTCAGAACATGGGTTCTATTTGGACTCAGAATAGTCTATTGGTCCAAGTAGACCTGAACTCAGGAACCAACTCTACCCCTAACCAGCTGAGTAATTTTAGATAAGTTTCATCTTCTCTATGGGCCTCATTTTTTAAATCTATAAAATAAGGATGAGAATGCCTGCCTCATAGGGCTGTTATGCAGATCACAGATGCAGTGGAGTAAAGGCGTAGCACAGTGGCTGGCAGATCACAGATGCAGTGGAGTAAAGGTGTAGCACAGTGGCTGGCAGATCACAAGTCTGGAGTGGCACACGTCCACACCTAGCGCCCATCAAGGGCTTTGTCAATGAACTGGTAGTACTTTGCATCTCCTGCTGTATGGAGTTTCATGTCCACAACTTATTTATATGTTTATAGGGAGAGAATAATAACAGCAACTCACATTTCATAGTGCTTTACTGTTTGTAAAGTGTGTTCACAAATATTGCCTCATTGTTCTGTAAAGACAGTTTAGTGTAGTGGAAGGAACCAGGTTTGGGAATACACAGCCCAAATTTGAGTCCAAGTTTAGCAACCACTGGCCTTGAGATCTCATGTGCCTGTACAGCTTACCCGTGAAGCTTAATGTCTTTATCTACTCACTCCTAAAATAAGGATAGTTATACCAAACTACTAATAGTGTTGTGGAAAGGATTAAATGGTATACAGCTGGTACTAAGTAAATATCATTATTATTATTAACATCATCTAAAAGTAGATATTATTGTCCCTATTTTATGGGTAAAGAAATGGAGACATAGAGGATGACTTATAGCTTGTCTGAGGTCCCACCGCTGTGACAGATGTAACTGAGATTCCAACCAGTCAAGCAGGGGTGGAGGGAGGGTGGTGCAGAGAGAGGCTTACAGAGAGGCAGAGAGAGAGAGACATATAAACTGGAGGCAGAGAATGACGCCTTGGACCTGAAAGAAAAGGAAAGTTGGAGCTTCTTTCTATTCACTGCTGTGCTAACAGAGTGAGAATTTCAGACGACAGCCTAAAAAAGTACTTCCTAGACTTCCCTTCCCTCTGTAGGGGCAGAGAAGGGCTTTGTTACAAGGCAGGGAACTGCCTAGCCACAGACAGGGTAGCCTCTTCCTTCCAAAGCAGGTCATGGTCAGCGAGCAGGAGGGTCACCATCTACTCTGATTTCAGTTTTCTTGTCCCAAAATGGGGCATTTCCTCCCTTTGCATCCCACCTCCCTCCTCCCTACACACTGGGCTCATGCCGCTAATAATGCAGAGTCAACAGTATGGGATTTTCCTTGACAAAGAAAGCCACTGAGTCCACCCCGACTTATGCTGACGTCATCAGCATGACCCTGAGCAACATGAAGACGCGAAAGAACAACTTCAATCAGTTGTACCAGCTTCACTGTAATGAATGGAGTTACTTTAACATGTACCTACAGGGACTGCAAGACCACTTCCTCAGGTATGGAAGGGGCTTTGGGAAGCGCCACTGCTTCAGCACTTGTCTATCAGCATGTCGTCATACTGTGAATGGGGGTGCTACCCTGTAACTAGCTCACACACAATTAGCTTTCTTGTGGTCAGAATGTAAACTCAATAACACAGACCTGATCTTTTTTTAAAGAAGTTATTGTTTTTCTAACTACAAAAACATTACATGCTCAATGAAAGCAAACAAAAAACCTGGAAAATCACATACAAGCACCTAGAGGTACATATTGCCAAAGTTCTCCTATAAATCCTTCCAGGCACATGTGTCTGTATTACTAAACAAAATTCATAGGGTCATACTGCCACTTAGCAGCATATTATGAACATTTTCTTGTGCCTGCCTTCTGCCTTGTTAAATATTTTTATTTTATTTAGAATTCTTTTAGACCTTTTGGAAAAGCTGAAAGGATAGTTCAATAAACAACCATATGCCATCACTGCATTTACAAGCATTCATATTTTGCCACATTTACTTTTTTTCTTTTGAAATAGAGTCTTGCTCTGTTGCCCTAGGTAGAGTGCAATGGCATCATCGTACCTCACTGCAACCTCAAACTCCTGGGCTCAAAGTGATCCTCTTGCCTCAGCCTCCTGAGTAGCTGGGTCTGCAGGCATGCACCACCATGCCAGGCTAATTTTTCTATTTTTAATAGAGATGGGGTCTCACTCTTGCTCAGGCTGGTCTTAAACTCCTGAGCTCAAGCAATCCTCCCGCCTTTGGCCTCCCAGAGTGCTAGGATTACAGGCATGAGCCACTGTACCTGGCCCAAATTTACTTTTTATCTCTAATATATAATCCAAATTCAAGTTTCCTCTTTTTTTAAGGATGGGGTCTTGCTGTGTTGCCCAGCCACTGCTAGCTGTGGCCTTAACAAGGCAGAAATAATTTAGAGTTAATATTAAATTCATATAGAATGTTCAAGATTAAGTATACAGCTTCTAGATTTCAGAAATATATAAGTATATCCTTGTTTAATAAAGACATCTTCAGCTGGGCATGGTGGCTCATGCCATCCTAGCACTTTGGTTAGGCCAGGGCAGGAGGATTGCTTGAGCTCAGGAGTTCCAGACCAGTCTGAGCAAGATCGAGACCACATCTCTACTAAAAATAGAAAAATTGGCTGGATACAGTAGCGCATGCCTGTAATTCCAGTTACTCAGGAGGCTAAGGCAGGAGGATCACCTGAGCCCAAGGAGTTTGAGATTGCAGTGAGCTATGATGACACCACTGCACTCTAGCTGGCACAACAGAACAAGACTCTGTCTTAAAATAAAATAAAATAACTCTACAAAAAGTGTAAAACATTTTTTTAAATAACAATTACAAATATAGTATACTAAATAAAGCAGTAACATTTATTAAGATTGTCAAGTATTATGTACTGTACAAAATTGTATGTGCTATACTTTTATGTAACTAGCAGTGCAGTAGGTTTGTTTACACCAACATCGCCACAAACATGTGAGTAATGCATTGTGCTATATGACATCACGATGGCTGAATTTTCAGCTCCATTGTAATCTGATGGGACAAACCATCTTTTATGTGATCTAGCATTGACCAAAATGTCGTTGTGTGGTGTATGACTGTATTTATAAGATGATCAAGGAACTTTGAACACTCACTTGAGTATTAGATGATATTAAAGAATTCCTTTCATTGGATTTTTTTAGTTATTATAATGGTTTTGTAATAAGTCATGTCTTAAGTCATGTTTTAAGTCATGTTTTAAGTCATGTCTTAAAGAGATATATAATTATTTATGGATGAAATGACATGTATCTAGGATTTTCTTTAAAATAATCCATTTATTTTAAATGGGTAGGGGGCAAAGGGGGAAATACATGAATCAAGATTGACCTTAGGTTGATAATTATTGAAGCTAAATAATGGGTAAATTATTATCATTAATAATTATACTATTTTCTTTTATGTATGTTTAAAATTTTAAATAATGGGAAGTTGATTTTTTAAAAGCTGGGGGCCATAACAAGAACAAAAGATGATGACTGTCTATGTGGAATATTACTTGTAGATGGGCTAAGACTCTTTGAGGATGTCAGTTACCATTGTTTCCCTAAGAGAGCATAGTACTTAGGAGCATTGGCTTTGAAGTTGTACAGATTTAAGCTCAGTTACAGCTGTCTGGATTTCTGGGTGAATTAGATCCATTATTCAGCCTGTGTGAGGCTTGGAGACCTAATATGTAAAACAGGGGCAGTATTAACACCTGCCTTGCAGAGTGGTTATATGGATTAAAGGAAATATCTAGCTCAGTGCCTGGCTCAAAGGAAGTGCTCAGTAAATGTCCGCTGGTAGAAATAATACATTGGACCACACAGCATGAAAAGTGCAGGGGCCACAGCATCAGAAGCACTTGTAGTCGAAAAGTTCGTGGCGGGGAGGCCCGGAACAACCTCCACCTATTAGAGACACAGTCCAACAGCTGTTTTGCAGGCGCCCTTGCTCTAGGTACAGCCTAGCGTGCAGGTGCCGATCAGCTGCACGGAGAAGCAACAGGGCCAATTGCTGCAGAACTTAGTTTTCTTGTGAATCTGGACCCTTGATCCTCAGCATGTCTGGGACAGAATACCTAGAATTCAAAATGCTCTTTGCAGAACTCCATGAAATGTTTCAACACACGATTCTGTCAGACAAGCTAAAGACTCTTATGCTAGTGGAAAATATGAGTCTAAGATGTGGATAGGCTTTAACATCTCAAGAAATGACTACATAGAAAATACTACCAAAGATTTACATCCAAGTTTTTCTGTTAGAAAATGTGATCATAACACGGACAAATGCAATTTGCTGCTTTTTTTGTCTTCCCATTGCAAGCAGAAACAGTCTCCAAAGGATTAAGAAAACATTGTTTTAGAAGATCTTAAAAGTAAGAATGTTTCATCAACGTATTTTTTTTTTACTTAAGACCCCCATTGTTGGAATAACTACTGACTTAGGCCAAATTCATGCTAGTTTTTTAATGCCAATCTTTTTACATCTATTGTACAGTGGCAGAGAAGTACATGAGAGCATCTTAATTCACTTGAATATATATTTATTGCTGTTTTGTCTACCTTGAGTACCAATAACATGCTTCTTCACTGAGTAAATGTCTATTCACATTTCAAAGGCCAACTGATATATTACCCAATTCAGCATTCCCACTATGTACCCTAAGCTTATATGAACATGCTCCACTGAAAACTTTCTATAATAACACCAGCAGCTGATATTTATTGAGCACTTCCTGTGTACTAAGTACTATGTTAAGTGCTTTCCCTATGGTAACTCAGTCCTCACCAGAACACTAAGTTCTGTTATCACCATGTTAAGATGAGTACACTGGCATGGAGAGGTTAAATAATTTGCCCAAGGTCACACAGCAAATGGCAGAGCCTCAACTTGAATCCAGCTTGCTTTCAGAGCTCATGCAAAATTTTAGTTTTTTCTCAGATTATGGATTTCCTACCTGTCTCCCTAATTTGAGTTTATGTTCCTTGAGTTCAGGGACCACTTCTTATTTCTTTTGTATATCCAGGGGTCTGATATCAGTGACAGAGTCACTGCTGTGCCATCATGATCATCTGTCTGTTCCAGTCTTTTGTTTTCGACAGATTAATTAATGAACTTGCAAATATTTGTCTGTCTGAACATATGAAAATAGGAGTGCAAAGATCACATTGACTATTTAATCTTTTTCCATAAATGTCTTTTTGTGGTTTCCCCCCAGGGATGTGAAGAATGTCACTCAAAGAGCAACAGACATAAAAAAGGAAAACCATATGGTCGTCCCATCGTCCGGCCTCAATGAGGAATTCCCTGACAAGAAACCTAAGGGAAACCTCCAGAAAGAGAGCCAGTTTGTTTTAAGGTATGTTCAGATAAAATCCATGAAATTAGGAGAAGTGTGAACAGTGTTGAGACAGAGTCTCACTTTGTTGCCCAGGCTAAAGTGAGTGCTGTGGCGTCAGCCTAGCTCACAGCAACCTCAAACTCCTGGGCTCAAGCAATCCTGCCTCAGCCTCCCAAGTAGCTGGGACTACAAGCACGCGCCACCATGCCCAGCTAATTTTTTTCTATATATATATTAGTTGGCCAATTAATTTCTTTCTATTTATGGTAGAGACGGGGTCTCGCTCTTGCTCAGGCTGGTTTCGAACTCTTGACCTTGAGCAATCTGCCTGCCTCGGAGTGTAAGAATTCTTAAAACATGAAAAAGAGTATATAAAAGTTCACTTACTTTTATGTATTATTCACACAACTTCTCTTTTTTTGCTTGTTTTATGTGTTTGTAGAGAGTATCTCACTATGTTGCCCAGGCTAGTCTCGAACTCCTGGCCTCAAGTGATCCTCTTACTTTGGTTTCTCCAAGTGCTGGGATTATAAGTGTGAGCAACCTCACCCAGTCTACTATCACGTTATTTTTAGTATTATTATTGGTAGTAGTAAGAGCTATCAAGTATTTTGCACTCCCTCTGTGCCAAGCATTGGGCTATGTACTTTGTGAACAGTGAGTATCAGAGCTCTTTTGTTATAAGTGCCAGGAAGCCAGCTCTAACTAGCTTCAGTGGAAGGAGAACCCAGTGGCTTGAGTAATTAGAAAGGACACAATGAGCTGGCTGTGGGCATATCGGACTCAAGGACTTGAAAATATTTTGGAGTGCATATCGGACTTAAGGGCTTGAAAATATTTTCAAGTGCTCTCTCTCTCTCTCCCTCCTCCCACCCCACCCCCCCACTCCCCACCTTCCCTCTTATTTCTTTTTCAAGCTGCCTGTGCCCTGAGGGCCATGGACAGCCCCACACTTATATCCTTACATATCCTTACAGTGCATGACCTACAAAGTCATGCTCACTTAGCTGGAGCACATCTTCTAGTAGTTCCTGAGGAAAAGGTATGTGGGAAATTTTTTGAGTCTTAGCATGTCTAGAATGTCTTTATTCTTGATTAATGGTTTACAAATGTTTTGCTTGGAATAAAATTCTAAGTTAAAAGTCAATTTCCCATAGAATTTAAAAAAATTTTTTCCTGGCTCCTACTTTTGCAATTGAGAAGTCTAATGCCATTCTGATTCCTATGGCTTTGTGTGTCACTTTTTTTCCCTGTGGGAACTTTTAGGATATTGTCTTTTTTGTTTGTTTGATTGTTTTCTTTTTTGACAGGATCTCTCTCTCTGTAGCCTAGCTAGAGTGCTGTGGCATCATCATAGCTCACAGCAAACTCAAACTCCTGAGCACAAGAGATCCTCCCACCTTAGCCTCCCATGTAGCTGGGACTATAGGCATGAGCCACCATGCCGGTTTCACTCTTGCTCAGGCTGGGCTCAAACTCCTGGCCTGAAGCAATCCTCCCACCTCAGCCTCCCAGTGTACTGAGATTACAAGTGTGAGCTACCTCACCCGGCCTAGATTATTGTCCTTATTCCTAGTATCCTAAAGTTTCACAATTATGTGCCATGGGATGAGTTTCGTTCTTAATACTTTTTAGTGGGGCTCTCAGTCTGGAGAGTAGTGTCCTTCAATTCTGGAAATTGTTCTTTTATCATTTATTTCCTTTCATTTTCTTTGCTCTGTTTTTGTTTTTGTTTTGTTTTGTTTTTTTGGAACTATTATAGTCACTTGTTGGATCTCCTAGACTGACTCTCTAATTATCTTTATTCTCCTGTTGGTATCTGTATGTGTTTCTTTTTCTTTTTCCAAACAACAGAAATTTATTCCTTCACAGTTCTGGAGACTGGAAGTCTGAAATCAAGGTGTAAGCAGGACCATGCTCCCTCTGAAGGGAGAATCCTTCTTTGCCTCTCCCTAGCTTCTTGTGGTTGCCAGCAATTCTTAGCATTCCTTGCTTATAGATCAATTCCTTGCTTATAGATCAATTTCCTTTTTAGATTGTTCATTGAGTGTATAGATATTTCTCCTCTGTTATCACTTAGCATTCTTCATGTCTGTGCCTGTGTCTCATCTTCTCTTCTTATAAAGACAACAGTTACATTTGGGTAAGGGCCTACCCTAATGCCCTCATTTAATTTGATTAAATCTGCAAAGATTCCATTTCTTAAAAAAGGTCCCATTCATGGGTACTAGGGTTTACAACTTAACACACTGACCGCCACAATAGAAAAAAAAATTTTTTTTTCCCTTGGGGCCACAGTGGCTTATTACAAAAATAGAATAAAAACTTTGAAAACAAAATGATCCTTTCTAATTTAATGGAAAATTTGTTATTTTTTATTGTTTTCTGTATGTGAGTTTATGCAACTTGAAAAATAGTTCAAATGGCTCCCAAGGTAAAGAGACATATGAGTTGCATATGCCTCACGAGGTCCTGGGCTCAAAACTAGCATGAGTTAAATACAACTCACGTGGCAGTTAATGTATTAAACATGTCTTTTGTGGGACATAATTCAACCCACACAGCTTTCTTCTAAAGTTTATACTTTGAGTGGATATATTTAGGTCTTCAATTTATTTTGTAATTATTATATATGGTAAGAGAGAGGAATCCAACTTTATTTTTGTGTGTGTATAGTTATCCTGTTGTCCCAGCACTATTTGTTGAACAGACTATTCTTTTTCCATTGAATGGACTTGGTACCTTTGTTGAAAATGAATTGGCTATATTTTCTTTCTGGACTCTCAATTTGATTTCATTGGTCTAGATGTCAACCCTTGTGTCAGTACCATAGTGTTTTAATTACTAGTGCTTGGTAGTAGGTTTTGAAATCAGAAAGTGTGAATTCTCCAACTTTGTTCTTCTTTTTCAAGATTATGTTCGCTATTTGTGGCCTCTTCCAATTTTCTGTGAATTTCAGGGTAGGCTTTTCCATGTCTACCAAAAAAGTCATTGGAATTTTGATAGGGACTACACTGAATTATAGATCAGTTTAGGTAGTAATGCCATCTTAACAATATTGAGTCTTCCAATCCATGAACAAGAGCTGTCTTTGTGTTTAGTTAGTCTTAAAATTTCTTTCAGTAATGTTTTATACTTTTCAATATATAAGTCTTTTACCTCCTTGGATAAATTTATTCATAGGTATTTTTTCTTTTGGATGCTATTATAAATGGAATTGTTTTCTTAATTTCCTTTTTAGATTGTTCATTGAGTGTATAGATATACAACTGACTTTTTTTGTTTTGATCTTGTCCCCTGCAACTTTGCTGAATTTGTTTATTATCTGTAGTAATTTTGGGTTGTTTTTTTATTTAGGATTCACTGGGATTTTCTATATATAGGATCTTATCATCTGCAAATAAAGGTAGTTCTTTGTTTCCAATTTGGATGCCTTGTTTTTCTTGCCTAATTTATCTGTGTAGAGGTTCTGATATTAGGTCATTAAATATGAAATGTCCAATTTTGAATCAAAAGTGTAGTTTATTATATCTCAAACAAGAAGCAGTACAATTAATCAAAGTTTGCGTCTAAACTATCAATACAGTTTTGCTATCTTAACGGTGGATTGTTTATGGTGGCAGCAAAGTAACCTGGAGAGCGAGTGGTGATGAAATTTTGAAAGGTGTTTCCCACAGCTTGTTAAGAATTCAGTATTTTTCCTTCCAAAGCCTGGTAGTCACAGTCTAGTGAATATTGTGGGTAACAGAGAGTTTCCAAGTCTAGCCTCTGTAGTTTGAGTGGCATTGTTTGTGCAACATGTAGTTGAGCATTGTCTTGCAGGAGGATTGGCTAGTCTCTATTGACCAGTTGTGACTGCTTTATAGAAAGCATCCTCTTCTTTTTTATTTTTTTATTTATTTTTTTTTTGAGACAGAGTCTTGCTTTGTTGCCCAGGCTAGAGTGAGTGCCATGGCGTCAGCCTAGCTCACAGCAACCTCAAACTCCCGCGCTAAAGCAATTCTACTGCCTCAGCCTCCCGAGTGGCTGGGACTACAGGCATGCACCACCGTGCCAGGCTAATTTTATATATATATATATATGTTGGCCAATTAATTTCTTTCTATTTGTAGTAGAGACGGGGTCTCACTCTTGCTCAGGCTGGTTTCAAACTCCTGACCTCGAGCAATCCACCCGCCTTGGCCTCCCATAGTGCTAGGATTACAGGCGTGAGCCACCATGCCTGGCCTAGCATCCTCTTCATTTCGTCCAGTTGGTTGCAGTAGACATCCACTGTAATTGTCTGACCAGGTTTCATGAAGCTGTATTGGCTATTACCAGAGCTGGACCACCCAACAGATACCACTAGCTTTTTTGGTTGAATATTCAGTTTTGGACTGTTTCAGCACTTCATCTTTATGTAACCATTGTGCCAAATGTTTACAATTGTCTAAAAGATTCCATTTTTCATCACATGTAACAATAAGGTGTAGAAATGACTGGCCTTTTTTTTTTTGTTTGAGACAGAGTCTCACTTTGTTGCCCAGGCTAGAGTGAGTGCCGTGGCGTCAGCCTAGCTCACAGCAACCTCAATCTCCTGAGCTCAAGCAATCCTCCTGTCACAGCCTCCCAAGTAGCTGGGACTACAGGCATGCGCCACCATGCCCGGCTAATTTTTTCTATATATATTATTTGGCCAATTAATTTATTTCTATTTATAGTAGAGACGGGGTCTTGCTCTTTCTCAGGCTGTTTTCAAACTCCTGACCTCGAGCAATCCACCTGCCTCGGACTCCCAGAGAGCTAGGATTACAGGCGTGAGCCACCATGGCTGGCCTGGTTGGCCTTTATGTCATGACAAAGAAAGGCAAGCTTCGAGATAATTTCTCTTCTGACTCTTCCACTCATTCAATTCATGCAGAACCCATCTATCCAACTTCTATACCTTGCCCATTTGTTTCAAATGGTCCAATATTGTTGGAATAGTAACGTCAAACCTTGCTGCTAATTCATGGGTAGATTGAGATGGATTTGCTTCC